TCGAGCCGGTTGAGGGCGGAAGTGCGGGGCCTTTCTCTGTTGTCATTGTGGCGGTCCCGGGACTGAACTTCCTGGGAGGCCGTATCTTGGGCCACTACCCCTTCGTCATTCCTAACCCGAGGGATGGGGTTTCCGAAGGGGTGTGGCAGAGGGGGAAGTATGATGTTCTCCCCAACCTGGGGTTGAGCCGGAGCCAGGGTGGCGAAGGCACCTGGGTTCTGAGTGAGCGTCTGGATGAAGGCGGAGAGCGCCGAATGAACGTCGATGGTGAGAACCGGAGGGCTGATTTGGTCATCGCTCCGGTTCTTCTTCTTGGCCTCGATGCCGAGGCGGGCATCGGGGGCATTCTGCTGGATCTGAAGGCGTAGGTCGACAACCGCCTGTTCCAGCCCAGCGATGACACCGCCCTCGGGAGCCCTGTGAGAGGCTTCGAGGGCGTTGACGTCGCCGAGGGCCAGGTTCTTGTCTTCTACGTTTTTGGAGTTGGCACGTGTTGTTCTCACCATTTTGGTAGAGGGCTAGTGTTTGGCGGAGGGGGAGGGTTTCTTACTTGATAGTTCGACCTCTCAACGAGAGCACCAAATGATGGATAGTGTACCCGGGGGGTAGCTTATCAGAGGGGTTATTACGGGGATTAATAAGAGAGAAGTCAGAGCAAGTAAATATAGAGAGAGAAAGTATATTATAAAGTGTGGAGCGTTTTCAGCGTGGTTACAAATGGGGAAATGAGGTGCTACTTATAGTAGCAATAAATGCCGGACAGGGACACGTGTCAAGCGTCCATTGGCCGAGAGGTCACCTCAACTGGTTGGCGCTGGCAGCCGCATGTGGCCGCATTTAATGCGGCTGTTGGATGGGACGTTGTACAGGGTACAGTGATCTGTACGCATGTGGCGCGGATATTATGTCGGGAGAGGTGCCCTCGGCTACAGAGGACTAGCCGAGGGCTCTGAGTGCCGGGAACCCTCTTGGTGCCGAGGGCTCTAGGTGCCGAGGGCTAGTGATTTTCGCCGTTTTCCCAGTCATCTTGTTTTCCTGTTTTTGCCCTCCTGTGGGAGTTAGAGCCCTCGGCCAGGGGGCGAAGGCACCCCTGGTGCGCATTGTGGGTTGCTTGGCACTCTGGGCATTGTGATTTGGGCCTGTTGGGCCTTGTTTGGAGTAGTGGGAGCCTGTGGGCCGGAGGTTCCCGGGCCATATACTCCATCAACTAACATGTATACTTTTGAATTTGATTTATTAAAAATTAATGAAATAATTATATATTTATGACTAAAACTAAAGATTGTTTAAAAAAATGCAACTAGTGACTATTGTAGTAACTTGTTAGGACAAAATTTTTTGTGTTCAATTTAATTAGATTTATCTTTGTTTAATTACGATTTAATCCGTGGGCCTCTGTATTTAATTAGGGGCCATTTAAGTGCTTTATACGGCCCATCTTAATTTCACTAGGATGTACGGCCATCCCTCTATAAATAGAAGAGGAATGGACCGCACATCTTGAGAGTTTCAGAATTAGAATAATCATATCATTCTCGAAGTTCTCACGCTAGAACGCTAAGTCTCTACACATTCTATTCCGCATATTATTTTCGTAGAGCACCTAGAATAATTCTCTGTCTACATCTGTGTACAGTTCTTCATTGTTTCATCATTATCAATATACGGTATGAATTGATGTTGAATTATTCTTCTACTGTTTAAATTCTTTCTATTATTCTTAGATTAGTCGACTGTTGAATCTGGGCTACAGTCACACAATTGGTATCAGAGCCTCAGCGTAATAAACTTAAGTGATCATTATACTATATAGTACTACTTCCGTTCCACTAACCCTGTATTTAGAATGTTCAAACATTAATTTTCTACTAGTGGTATATAGTGAATTGCCTTTAATAGGAGTAAAATATAACATACGGAGTACAACTTTTCCTTAAATATGAGTCAATCTCTAATAATCCCTAAATAGGATCAAACATTATTTTTTACCCTAATTTAATTAATTAATTATCACCTAAGTTTCTTAATAATCGAGTCATTCTGTTAGTGACATGCGGTCTGATCGTACCAAATGCATTGTGTTAAAGGAAAATATTTGAAGGACATTGAAGTAATTCATCAAGTGTGCAATATAATACGATAGTATATCATTTAATCAAACAAATTAATGCATTCCTTTAGGTCCTATTGTGAGAGGTCAATTTTTGCCTCCTCTCCCTAATCAATTTTAGGTCAAGAGTATGGCGAGGAACATCGTTGGGACGTCCGGCCGCCATGGAGGCCAATTCGTCCTCAGATTTGGTGTCATCAGAATCCTCACTGGAGGAAGAAGAAGTGCTATGGAGGTCCTCCGCCTCAGCCCTGGTATTCGTCGCCGTCTCGGTAGAAACACCGGCAAACGGAACTGGGATGGCATCTACCATGGCGGTGTCACGGTCATCCCCATGAAAGGCCATCTCCGAATCAGAAGAATGCTCTGTGGGGCTCATCTCGATCGAAGCCAGAAATGAAGATGGGGAATCCAAGGTTGGGAAGTTACCTGAGCAAGGGAAGCAGGGGGAAATTTGCAGAGGAAACAACGAAGGCCAAGGAATTGCAGAGTCGAAACCCGGAATTGAGGAATTAAGGGCTAATTTATAGCCTTGAAACCGCCGTGTCGAGAACCAATCAGAGAGCGACACATCACTAGGGGCATTTAAGCTAGACACGCGTCTAATGAAAAGACTAAACGACGGTTATCATGATGAATATGGGGAAATGAAGCGGCAGCCGTCAAATCGCAGCATGGGGAACTGATTACTTCTGTACCCCGATCGCCATTCGGGGTATTATGACATTGGTATACTTCCTGATGCACTCACTTCGTTCGAGACATCGGAAGTGGGGGACTTGTGTTGGGATATTGAACTAGAGGCCCAATACCCAGATCGGGAAGGCCCAAGGTATCCGGCCCAAGTAACAGGCCCATCACTCCATGATGAAAAGATCCAGTAAGGAGACATACCGAACGGGGTTCGGCCCAAATAAAGGTTGGCCCAATAAGAAGGCATACCGAACGAGGTTCGGGCTATATATCATACTTGGGCCAATTTGACAGCATCTTCAGTACGGACCAACATCCCGTTCGAGCAACGGCCAACCAGCAAGTGGCCAGGTGCAGTTAATGCCAGACTATGACATCAGCAAGTGGAAGCATGGATGACCAAGTCGGTGGAACAACGGCCAATCAGCAAGAGGCAGCTCATGCTCTCCATTAGTATAAATAGAAGGTTTCAAGTCATTGTAAGGGTTAGATTTTCGATACTCAAGCTCTAGAATAGCATCATGTGCTCTTATTTCTTGTATTAAAGCATAGTTTCCGACTTACTGATCGGGAAATCCTTTGTAATCAGATTGGTTAATTAATACAAGTGGGTTTTCGAGTTTTAGTTAATTCAGATCTTATATTTTCTTATACACTTTGATTCTGGGCCATTCCTGATATATCCAAAGTTCGTGTTGGGCTTTCGGATCTACGGGACTTACCCTCAACAATCTTAATCAAACACAAATGAGATGAAAAATGAATACATTCCCATCAATCTAACATAGGCATGGACTCGAGCCGGTCTGGTTCGGGCCTCGAGCCGGACCTGACCGGGCTTTTTTCTGGATTCTTGAGGCCCGGAACCGGCCCGGGTAGCTACCGGGTTCGGGTCGGTCCGGGCCTCGGGCCGTCTACTTTTTTTATTTTCTAGTTACTTTCTAGCCCCTCCCCACCCCCACACCCCAAACCCCTCCAAAACACTCAGCCCAACCCATTTACATCCCAAAGTTTTTGAAAAAAAATTGGCCCGACCCGGCCGGTTCATGATGTTGAGACCCGGAGTTTGCCCCGAAACAATACCTGGTCGGGTGGCCCGAACCGGGCATGGATCCGGGTACCGATCCGGGCCAAAACAGTACCGGTCAAGGCCGGTTACAGGCCGGTTGACCCGACCCGAATCTATCCCTAATCTAACATACCCAACAATCTGATATTACAATGGTAATCTAACATTCATTGAACCAAGTGGGCCCTCGTTGTAAATAAGATATACGGAGCAAACGTGGCAATACAAGTTCGAACTAAATTAACCCTGATTTTTGAATTTTATGTACCTCTGAATCAAAGTTGCATTATTATGTACTCTTTACTCCACGGCTCCCAGCTTGATGTGCTCATCTCACACTTTCTCATTTTTTAAACAAAAAAGTTTTTTGTACACACTCTTATACACACTTTTGTACACACCTATGTCTGTGAAAGGTTTTTTTTGTCTGTGAACATCGACTCACAGACAATGTTTTGCACAAACAAAATATTGGGATTCACAGACAAAAAAAGTTTTACAAACATGATGTGTATAATGTGTGTACAAGAGCGTGTACATCAATCAATTTTGTTTTTTAAATAGAAACTCAACTCTCATTGTAAATACTTCCTCCGTTCCATAAAAGTCGCAACATTGGAATTTCTGCACTATTCACACTCCTTACTTTGACTACGACTTTCTAATAATATACATAATAAAAATATTATGTGTAAAATATTATTAAATTTGTATTAATGTAAATTTCCAATATATTAACTTTTTTTAATGTTTACTAATACGCAAATAAATATAATTACAGTCAAAGTTGCGTGTTGGCAAACGTGAAAGTCAAACTGTTAAAACTTTTATGGAACGGAGGATAGTAAGATATAAGGAGTACCATTTTACTACACTCCCACGGTGCCATGCTGTTACCTATTACTCCGTACTACGTACTCCGTACATCCTAAGCTATTCAATTGTCATGGAACCAACTATTCGTTTGAATGTTATTTAGGATCTCAAAAAAATCACATCTTATCTTTGGAAATTGAAGTTGTTACGATATTGTATGCCCAGAGCCAATTGTCTTAATGGATTTGTTTGTTGTATCGCATTTTATGAGCAAGAGGTTTATACTGATTAGTGATGATGAAGTTTGGTGCATACTTAATTAAATATTACTTGCATTTTTAACTTAGAACCCTAGCTAACCAGTCCAAAAGTGATGATGGTACTAGATCCACACATACATAGTGATCAACTATGATCATTATCCATTACCTGTAGAGCCCACACACTATTCACATGATCCTAATTCTTGAAAGTAACGCAAGACAACGATGGACTTCAATTAGGTGGTGACTGGTGATTCACACTTCCATGAGATCCATTTCCAAATGGACAGTAATTTTACTCTATTCAAAGATTGAATTTTTCAGAGGAATGGGATGAAATGGACGGGGAAATTACATTCAATTTAATCAATCAAGAAAGGTAGGCGAACAGTTACCCAAAAATGAAAAATCAATCATCACCGGTGGGAAACAGTGTAAGGACCTTCCTCCCGCCGCCGCCGGCAGCGGCGGGTTCCATATATGATCGTGGCAAAACGGACCCAATACTGCTATTATTATTATTATTTACACGGTGGTGGTGAGATAGATGAAACGGACGCTCAAATTGCCCATTGGGCGGTGATCCGAAATACCCATATTGCCGATGAAGCTGCGGATGGTGGTTGCCCGCCGCCCCCGCCGCCGCCGCTATTTGGTGTTGCATTGTTGCAAATGGAATGAACGGGTCGGGATTATGTCTCACCGCCGGATTCAAGAAATGGGCCGGCACAGGCGAACTCGCGAACAAGTGGTCCGTGGCGGAATCCACGCCGGCCGTCGAGGTGCTCCCGCCGTTGGACAGGTTCTGCATCCGCTTGAGATAAAGCCTGTACTTTTGGAGATGGCTGGCGACGTTCTCGCGGGTGAGGCCGTCCACGCTCATCAGCTGCATTATGGTCTTGGGGACGGCGTTCTTGATCCCCAAATGCGCCACCGCGTCGACGAACCTCTTGTGGAGCTGCGGCGTCCAGACGAGGCGCGGCCGCTTCAGAGTCCGGGCAGGCTCGTCTCCGCCGCCGCCCAAATCGGCGGAGTCAAATTCGGCAGAGGAGTTGGGCTGAGAAGAAGGGGTCGTCGACAGCGGCGGCGGTGGCGGCGGAGGAAGGTGGCTGCTGCAGCTGTTGGGGGCGTTCCGGATATCAAAAGCAATGGCTAAATGTGGAGAGATTAAGGTTTGGGAAATGGGCATAAGCTCATCAGGGGAAGGGAGTTGCTCTTCCCATTTAACAAACCAATTTGAATCTTCCTCTATCATTTCTTGGACTCTGTATATCTATATGGCTAGTCAAAAAGACACCAGAAATATGTATATATTTCTGCTCTGTATCTATGTCAAAAAGACAAAAATCCTGTCTTTTTGTTTTTCTGGGTCAGTCGCGAGGGTCGCCGGGATTTCAAGAACGGAGGTGAATTTGGAGAGAGGAATTTGGTAGGAGAAAAATAGAAGGTGTTGCTGATTCGAGGTGGATCTTGTTCTCATGTTTTCAGCTTTTATTATGTGATCATTACTACTAGGGAGTACTCCGTATTAGTTACACGTAGAATAAGAGTATTACTCCCTCCACCCTTAAAGTATTGTCAAGTTTGGCCTAGAATAATAAAATAAAAATTACTCCCTCCGTCTCTAATCTCTCCCTTTTCGGCTGGGCACATTTATTAAGATAGTGGGATTTGTGTGGTGGAGAGTTGTGCAGAGGAGAGAGAAATGTGTAAGAATGTGTAAGAATAGTTGTGAACCACAAATTTTTTGCTAAAAGGGGGAAAAGGAGATAATTTTGGGACGGACGAAAAAGGAAAGTTTGAAGATAATTTAGGGACGGAAGGAGTATGTGGTATAGATTTATGCAGAGAAGAGAGAAATAACAGGAACCACAAATTGATTGATTAAAACGGAAAGTGACAAATTTTTGGAATAACAAAAAAAAGAATGTTGACAAATTTATAAGGGATGGAAGGAGTATTATTATTATATAGATTAATTATTGTACATATACTCCGTATAGATATACCGTTGCCGATGCCTCTTACGGAGTATGATTTTACTGAATTTTGTCTTTGTTTCGGAGAGTAGTTGGCTGCTCGCAATGACAATTAGATTCTAAACATCAATTTGTACAATTTACAACGTTAAACTAAAATTAAGGATGTTTTTTGGAGTGTCTTTTATAATATTAAAATCAGCTAAATCTGCTCAAATTAGAACTCGTTTGGTGACTCTGTTATCGGACTTATCAACCAACTTTTTAACCAAACATGTAACTTTTGATTTCACGCGTTAATTTGTGTAATAATAAGAAAACGTAAGGTTAAAGCTACTTTCCGACTGTATTGATTGAAATTGATATATATGACCATTTTAGCTATTTTTTCATATAACTTTTTCTTTATTTTATGAATAAAATACATTATAAAAATAATTTTTTCATAGATCAGCATAATCAACCAATACGATCACTTTAGTATTACCAAACGGACTCTTACTGAAATTCAAGCTGAGGCAGCCGAACCGATCGGATCAACCGAATTATAAAAAAAGTATCATTCAAATACACTATGTGGTTAATTAACAAGATAAAGAAATAATCATGTGAAATTGGCTAAAACAACTCTCTACAATAACTTCGAAAAATTTAGACAAAAAATAAATTCAAACTTACTTATTTTGATTATTACGTAATTCAACTCACGACATTTACGGTAACGAGTTTGGTTAAAAAGTTTGATGATAAAGTTGATAAGTTGAAAACATAGCTTAACAAAAAAGCTTTCATTTAGTGGTCTATTTAAGTCCACTCTTATTTAGTACGGAGTATCTGATAAACATCTCATGTATGTGTATTTTGTTATTCTTCAATCCTTAATTTTATTTGATCTGATCAATTATATATGTAACACAAAACAAGCAAATCAAAAGCATCCACCATGTATTCTCTATGTTCTAAAAACATTGCTCCTTACGACCTTAAGACTTGGCCTTTTTTCTAAAAAGACTTCTCTGGTACTTGCTGCTTAAATAATACTCCTAGGGTTTATATGGCTCTATGTTTGAAATTAGATCAGATTAGATTAGATTAAAACACCCTAAGGGTTAGCCTTTTGAGAGTTTTCATGTTTGAAGCTTTTATTATGTGATCATTAATACTATTATTATTAGCAACTTTCTATTACTACATCCTTCCCTTTATGTTTGGATAAAGGGGTGTGACATAACTTTTAAAAAAAAGTGAAAAGCCTCAATAAAATATATTATCTGACAATTACTAACATCAATTAAATTCAGGTTGGCGCAGCTAGGGTTTCTTGGCCCTCGTCTGCGGAAGCTTTGGGGCCGGCGAATTACTTTCGCTCGGCGAATTCAAATAGGTGCAGCGGAGACCAACTCCAAAATTGTGTTGGGCATAAGCGACGATTGGCTGATCGACGGACGGCTTCTCTTCCGGCAGGGTGATCTTTTCTGGCTAATTCTCTGCTTCGTTGGTGGGCTGCTTTGTCTGCGCAAGGGAGCAGTTCCGTTTGGTCAAAGTCGGAAGGGGAAGATAATGGAGGTCATGGAGGAACGAGGACGAGGAAGATTGACGTGGATATGAATGTGGAGGCGGCTCGCTTTCGGACTGGTTGTGTTCGTGCAATCTTTCAGTCAAGAGATGGAGGCGACTCACGGGCAGATCAAAGAGAAGCAAGAAGAATATGAAGTGATGAAAATTCGTCCCTCCTGAACCGCCGCCATGGAGGAACTATGCGACTAGGGTTTGGAAGACTGTTTTACAATTTCTAGTCTTTTATTTTCAGTCCAGACTGTTTTATCACTTCTATTTTGTTCCTACTATGACAATCAATAAGCGGGGTAGGTGGGTGTTCTGTTTTGCTTTAGTTGATAAATTACTGGTTGGAGGCAATCAGGCTGATTCAGCCGCTAATAGCCTCTATGCTCTCACAGCTTCAACGATTAGTCTCGCTCTTTTTAGGATGGACTATTCTATGTCTGGTCATGATGTGAGGGGACCGGCGGGCTTTGGTTTTGGTTGGATAGAGGGGGATTTAGTTCTTGGGATTTGTTATTGTTTTGGTTTGTTTGATTTAATATAAGTTATTTTCCTTTTTAAAAAAACTTTTAAGAAAAAGTGAATTTATGTGCTTGATATTGAAATTATAAAGTGTTATAAAGTAAGAATGAATTGTAACCACCCAAATATTACCAAATATGGTACTCCCTACGTCCCTTAAATTTTTGTCAAGTTTAACCAGCACGGAGATGAATAAAGTAAAAACTGTGTGGTAGAGGTTTGTGCAGAAAAGAGATCATTACTGGAACAAGAAATTCTCTACTTAAAAGGAAAATGGGAAATTTAGTGAGACATTTAAAAAATGAAATTTGGCAAAATTCTAAGGGTCGAAGGGAGTATGAGACAAACTTAATAGGACAGACGAAAAAGGTAAACGAGACAAGTTAGGGGGACGGAGGTAGTATTAATTATACCGAGTAGAATATTATTATTATACTGAGTAATTATTATACATAATAATCGGAATGTTATACTATACACTATTGCCAATGCCTCTTAAGATTTTATGGAATTTTGTCTGTTTCAGACAAAGTAGTTGGCGGCTGGCAATTACATTGTAAACATCAATTACAATTTACAACAACAACAACATCCAAGTCTTAGTCCCAAAAGATATTGGGGTCGGCTAACATAATTGATACATGATATCACCATCAAAAGGTGAAGAAAGAAAATAAAGATAAAAAAGATAAGCTATTATAAAAAGATAATATAAAAATAGATGAATATACATAAAAAAGATAAAATAAAAAGGATACAAATAATGCTTATATATATAAGGATAAAAAACAAGGGAAAAAAAAGATGAGGGGAAAAGATGATACGAGATCACTCATCCACACGAATACCCGCCCTCCACTTAGCTCTCTCTAAAGTCATGCTCTCATCCAACGCCAGAAGAAGCATATCACTTCAAACTCCCCTAACCCACGTTTGTTTGGATCTTCCTTTCCCTCTCTTCCCTGCCTCTTCTCCACACATCTCAACTTGTCTGACAGGTGCATCACTCAGTCTTCTACGCACATGACAAAACCACCGTAGACACGACTCCCGCATCTTGTCTTCAATAGGTGCTACTCCCACCCTTTGTCTGACTGTCTCATTCCTCACGCGGTCCCTCCTAGTATGCCACACATCCAACGCAGCATGCGCATCTCTGTCACACTCATCTTTTGAATATGACATTGTTTCACCGCCAAACACTCTACTCCATACAGTAATGTAGGCCTAATTGTTGTCCTATAAAATTTACCCTTCAGTCTAATCGCCATACCTCGATTGCATAGAAATCCGGACGCACTCTTCTACTTCATCCACCTTGTTCTGATTCTATGGGATACATCTCCATATAACTCACTGTCCTTCTGAATTATGGAGCCCAAGTAACGGAACATAGCGCTGACTAGTATCTCCTTACCATCGAGAGTAATTTCGCTATTACCACTGCTTCTACCTCCACCAAACTTGCACTCCATGTACTGTGTCTTGCTCCGACTTAGTTTGAAACCCTTATTCTCCAATGTTTTTCGTCATACTTCCAACTTTGCTTTAAGACCTGATTGTGTCTCATCAATCAATACAATATCGTCGGCAAACATCATGCACCACGATATATCATCTTGAATTGACTTTGTAAGTTCATCCATGACTATGGCAAATAAGAAAGAGCTCAGAGCCGATCCCTTGTGCACTTCGATAGTAATAGGGAACTCTTCAGTCCTCCCTACACTTGTAGTACAATCCTCATACATATCCATGATGATGCTGATATACTTGCGTGATATGTCTTTTCTAGTTAAGGCCCACCAAAGAACTTCTCGAGTGATGTGAGTTTTCTCGCTCTTAAAAAGATTGTAGAATAGTGGTGAAAGTACGAGTATCGTCTCCACAGGGACGGACAAAAGGGAATTAAAGATTAACTAAATTCAGCGATTAAAAAGAAATAAAATTAAATAAATGTGTCGTACGAGATTGATTGGTTGAATTGAAATTAAACTAATGCGAATGAGCGAATAAAAGTAAAGATTTGGGTTCTTCTTAATTAACGATGAAGGGAACAGAGATTGATTCCGGGGTAATCAGATTTCTGGCAGATCAGGCTTAATTACATGAATTTAATTTAATTGAGCCTAGCTAATCAATACTAAGTTCTTACCGCTCTCGCGCCGTAGAGTACAATAATTTAGGGGACCAGGCCGATCTCTCATGCGACAGGATCCTAAATTATTGTCAAGATGAACGAGCTTACGGCCCCTTAATCGCTACTAATCTCTTAGCGAACGATTAAGTGTGTGTGAATGTATCCTAGAATAAACTAGATCTCTCTTAATTTATTCTATGCGCAATTGTAATTCTAGCCGCGGTTCCAGATTACAAAAGATAACAGTTAAATTGTTCAA